TCGAACTGTGTAACCAAATTTATACGTATTTGGGCATAAAGTTCAGGAACAGTTTTTACACTATATAAGTGCACTTGACTATATTTAGTTATACTTTATATTATATTCATTTATATAACATTATTTTATATGTGTTATATGAGTTCATTTATATATACATATATATACGTATGTATAACACATATATTTTTATAATAGTTTATGATGGTTTTTGCGGTTTATGCGAAATTTTTTTTTTTTACAATGTTGAAAGAAATGAAACGATAAAAAAATATATTAAAATAAAAAGACAAACAAAATATAATAATATCAAAAAAGTGAAGAAATAATAAAAAAATAAAAAATTTTGTATAAAAAAAAATAGTGAAAAAATATCAAAAATTTTTTTTAATTCAAACTTACAAACATGGTAAAAAAAACGTACTAGAAATTTAAAAAAATTTTTTTTTTTTGTGTTAAGATTGTTGTTATATTAATTTGTATATATAAATTTGTATGTATAACACATATTATATGAGTTGATATTTATGTATGTTTACAATATTGTGCTGCATAAACCGTGACTATCCCATTTGTAGAAATTGCATCAGATGCAATTTAATTTTTAACTCAATTTAATTTTTTATTTTTAATTTTAACAAAATACTCAATATACTTGTATATACTATAAGTGTTTTGCATACATATACATATGTATGTATATTGAGTGAATGCTATTCACAATATAGAATGTGCATACAGACATTTTGTCAAAGTTTTTAATTTTATTGTATAGCGAAATTGTACTTTGTATTACTGCTGGTATTTTGTAATTGTTAATAAAATTTTACACTTTTATAATTTGTAATTGTATTTATTTAAAGGCAAAATAAGAGAAAAGAGTGAATTGAATTTTAATAGTGAACTTAAAAGGAAAAAATAGTAAATTTAAAATTTTGACAACCAGGAAATTTGACATTTATTTTAATTTTTCAAAAAAAAAAAAAAAATGAAGCCACCTATCGGATTTAATATTTAAAAATGTATTTCTCAAACTCTCCTCTATTTAAATTTTTGTATTTGTTAGTATAGAGCACGTACAAACTTAAAAAGAGCGCGGTAGTAACTAATCAGTTTTAAGGCGTCTCATTAATTTTACAGAGAAGAATTACATATTGTTATAAAATATAACAAAATTGAATGTAATCACCATTATTACTGTATACTAAAATGTTTTAAAAATACCAATTGCAAATAAATTATTTCAATTTTTGGTAGCATCTTACAAGTACAATAAATTTTCCAAATTAAACCTGTTCATATATGAGAGAATACAAAATCATATGCGAAATTTTATAGGTTCTTAATATAAATTCTCTTCTTTAAAACTATGTGTATACTCTCAAAATAAAATTCTGTTATACCCAAATATTATAACTATATTAATATGTGTATAACGCTTATGTATGTAAACGCTTTTTTCAGAAAAATCAATTCACTTGCTTTAATATTAATACTCTAAATTCTTTATTATGTCAATCAAATAAAAAAAACAAATTAGTTCACAAAAATTTTTTTGATTTTTAAAAATCGGTCATTGAAAAATAGAATTTGCACATACACCCATCCATACATACATTTCTATTTTGAGTTATAATCTTTTAAAATGTGTGATCCATTGAAAAATAATTTTGTGCAATTAATTCAGAGCTCTTAAATATTATTCTGGAATACCGAATACACTTGCTCATAATCACTTAAAATAATTCTTATTAAAGATAATAAAACAGAAAAAATAAAAACAGAAAGAGACAAAAACATTTTAAAATTATTTGAATTAAATGTCAAGTGTTTTTTGTTATAAGAATATTAAAAATTCTCCTTCAATTTTTATTCCATTCAAGTGTATTTTTTTTCTTGTTTTTCGTGAAAACATTCATCCATACAAAATATATACATTTAAATTGAATTGAATAAATGCAATCCAATATAATATAAAAAATTACCATATGGAACTGGGTGGTAACATTATATAATTTTTGACATTATAATGACATTCTGACAATTGACAATTTAAAAGTTTCGAAAAATTTCATATACGAGTACATATGATTGTTTTTTTTTTTTAATATTGAAATAAAAATAGTTAACAAAAAAAAAATTTATAAAATTTCATTTTTAGTTTGACATTTTGATGACATTTCTCTTTTGACAGATTTAATCCTATTATATAAAAAATTAAGTGTTTTAAATTTTTTAAGACAGATGGTTGAAAAGAAATTTTTTGTTTGTAACTGTGAGATAAATATTAAATTTTGAAATATTTCCGTAATTACACAAGTAATATTAATATATTTAAAAAAAATTGTATTTAATATTAATGTGCTAATGCGATAATAATGGTCAGATCTGACCATTGGTGCAGTGGTTATGGCACCGGTCCTTTAACCGAAGGGTCTCGGGTTCAAACCCCGGTCAGGTCACTATAAAAATTATATTCAATATTATTATAACTTAATATACAATACTAATAAAAATATTATACAAGTAATTTTCAAATATTCCTAATATTCGATATTAAAAAAAAAACTAAGAAAAATAAATAGTAAATATTAATAACCTCAAATAATTAATATATAAATAAAAACTACGGCAGGCTAGTCACCTACCTAGTTAAACCCTATGACGCTGTGAAACTAGTGCATGAGAAATCATGCACTAGCCCTATGCTCCTTCTAGGAGTGAACAAAGGAAAAAAAAAAAAAAAAAAAAAATGCGATAATAAAGATGCCAAGACAATTACTCATAGATTGTATTCATCATAGTGTTTCGTTTTTCATTCAATAAGTTTTCAATTTACAATTTAACAACTAGTATTTATAAGCTGAATTGTGTATAGTAATGCAATATTCGAAGCAGTGTCAATATATTTTATATATTGAAATAATGAAAATCAACCATGTGTCAAGTATTCGAAACTTTGAAAATTTCGAAATATTTTAAAAATTTTATATTTTGACAGTGTTAATTAAAAATCTTGTATAATTTAATTAAATTTTTCTAATTTAAATCAATTTAATTTTATAATTTAATTAATAATTAAAAAAATTAATTTGATTTAAAATCATTTTCGAATAAAGCATTAATATATTTCGAAATATGATATTAAATTTAAATATTAAATTTTTCAGAAAAAAAAAACAAAAATAAAAAAATTTATCGAAATTAAAAATTAAAATTTATATTATGTATGCGTACATATAAAAGTCATTAGATATAAAAGTTTGGCATAATTTTTATAATAATCTAAAATCAATACTGTTATATTATAAAATTTTAGTAAATCATTTTCTTTATTATATGTTATACAAGAAAATAGAGATGTAAAACTATACTAAAATAATATTTAAATTAAATATAACATAATATTCTTAAAATATAAATGTATACACTTAAATACTATATGTATAACATTATGTTTCGGATTTATTCGACTCAGAAGAATACTAGAAAAAAATAAAAAATTTTTTTTTTTTCTTTAGAGAACAATTTTCTATCAAAATTTTTCTAAAGGAAATTTAAATTTTGTTATACATTTTTTTTTTCTTAATTTTTGATCTTTATCCTTTAATATTTTTAATAGAAAAATGTATATTTATATATGTATATATGTATATTGTATAATAACATGCATAATACACATACACAAATTTCTATGTTGTATAAAAATGTATTTTATGTTAATATTTCAAGCATAAAATTTTTCATATTTTATATTTTTTAATGCATTTGATAAAAAATGAATAAAAAACTTACAAAAAAAAAAAATGTGTGTATAAATATTAAATGTTTATAAATACTTATAAATATATATATGTATATATATATGTGTGTAGTAGAGCATAGGATCTCAAGTAACGAAATTGTAATATGTGCTCATGTATGATTGGAAAAGAAATCTCTTTTAAATCTGTTCCTATATTTCATAAAGGATAATATTAAAAGTATGTTGTAAAAAAGAATTATAGTAGAGCAGAAAGAAAGAAAGAAACAAAAAAAAAATAAGTATTGAACTATGAATGTTACTGATATAAAGGAAAAAAAAAGCTATAAAAAGATTGAAGAAAAACACAAATGCATAATATATATATATATATATATATATATATATATATATATATATATATATATATATATATTATGCAGAGAGAGAGAGAATTTAAGCCTGGATACATTCTATATCGTATTTAAATATACGATAAGTATTTTTTTTTTTTGAATTTTTTTTTATATCCGTAATTATGTTAAAAATGTATATATATATTCTTATATGTATAACTAAAATGTATACAAAATCTCATATATATTTGAATATATAATACAAAATATAAACAGTGGTGTAAATATGTCCCAACCTCGGGCGGCACAATATAATCGACTACCATTAACATATGAAATATTATAATATTATATGAATGAATTAGTTTTAAAATACGTATACAAATATAGTTGAAGAAGTAAAGATATGGCCCATGCTCGGGCGACATGATAAAAATTAATATATATATTAACATATGAAATATTATAGCTTATATTGTATGTGTGATTGTTATAAATTAAATAGAGTTAGTGAAAATAAAGTTATGGCACATGCTCGGGTAACACAGTCGAAACTATTATCTATTAAATTGCGAATTATTGTAGTTATAAATGTATGAATGAATATTGAAATATAAATATAAATGCTGTAAATGAAAAATTTTTAGTGAAGATGTGGTTCATGCTCGGGCAGATTGAGAAAATTAATACGTGAAACGCATGGTGTAAAATTGTTTATATGGGGATGTATAACATTAAAGTTAAAAATACAAAATGTAATTTCAGTAATATGACCCGGGCTCGGGCGAACGATTTTTAAGTCACATATTATTATTAATGAAACGAGTTCTTTAACAAAGCCCTTTTCATTTGTAATCTTTGGTTGAGTCTAATTGTTAAGAAATTAATTGGAAAATTTTTACTTCAGGCGCCATTTTCGGTGAAATATTCTTAACTCACCACTGCTAACATACAACACATGTATAATATGAAATATCCAACTATACTAAATTGCATTAAAAAAGACTTTCATTTTAGTGTTTAATATTTTAAAACGAAAAAATATAAAAGAAATTAGATAGATTTTATGGAAAAAAAAAAATATTTTTTTTTTTATTTCAGAAATAAAATTTCAAAAATAAAAAAAAAAATAAAAAAAAATGTTGAATTTATAATAATTTCTTTAGAGTTTAAAAGACCTTAGAGATTTTTATGTTTTATTTTTTTTGAAATTTTTTAAAAGATTTTAAAAAGTAATTTATTTAAGTATGTATACATGGATGAAAAAACAAAAAAACTAAAATGCACATTTGACTTATTTAAAAAATTTTATCAGGATAAAGATAAAGAGACTTTTTTTTTTCTCTTTTTAAATGAAAATTTCATATATATGTGATTATTAATAATTTTTAGGTCATATTATTGCCATAAAAATAAAAATATTATTGCCATAAATATTAAAAATTAACAAAAAAAGAAAAACAGACAACATTCCTATATAAGCTATTATTGTGAATTTGACACTGCAATATCATAGTGTAAGGTAAATTAAACACAATCTGTCAAAAATTACTTCCCATCTGGCATTACTCTTAACAATTTGAATGAAATAAGAGTATATACTGCGGAAGAAAGCTATTTTATTTCTAGAAAATAATGTAATAATTAAAGTATAACACTTTTATTACACATTCTTTGCTAGCCTTTAATTTCTGCACAAAATCTGTAAAGTTAGCATTTAATTTTCGATATTTTTGAAATCGAATTGAAATATTAATAAAAATCGAAAAAAAAAAAATGAATAAGCAATATCAATGAATATTAAGAAAGCCAAAAAAAAATATTTTGGAAATATAAACGGGTTATAAAATATAACCTTAAAATAATAATCCATTAAAAAACATTAATGGCCTAATAAGAAATATAATATGTTGTAAGTATACAGACAAAAAAACACACATCATTATTATTTTTAATGCACAGTTCACTGATTCGGAAATTAAAAATGACTTTTAGCTGTATTTATTCCTGTATTTTATTTTTGTTTCTTTAATTCACTCACTCGCTCGCTCACTCATTCACTCACTCACTTATTCTATTCTTTTTATTTTTTTTTCAATGTTATACCCTTTTATTTTACTAATATTATTATTAAAAAAGAATAAATATAAATATTAAATACGGGGGAAAACAAAAAACAAAAAAAAAATGAAAATTTAGTAAAAAGAAAAGGTACCGTTGTCAAATATAGGCGCTTATATTTTACGAAAAAAAAAGAAGAATAACAATAAATAACAAATAAATTGAATGTATTTTTTAATGTTATTTTTTTTTTCAAACTAGAGGTCGCATGCTGTGACAACTCAGAAAGACAAAAAAAAAAACAAAACACATACAATTGACATCTAAAATAGAAGAGAACAGCAAAAATATACACAAAAACAGTAAAAAAAAAAAAAATTTTTTTTTTTTTAAGAAATAAAATTTATGACAATAAAATACCCAAATTGTTGTAAAATGTCAATTCCTATATATTTATATTATTGTTATTAATACTCTCGTATTATATAATATTGGTAATAATGGTTCATGGTATTAAAGGCATGGAAGTAGTGTCATGCAAGGGATTTTGTAGAAATTCCTTCCATGGTACATGCCTAGGAGCTCCACGTGGTTGGTACAGTGCATTTTTGGCGAACCATTTCATCTGCACGGATTGCTGCTCGGTCAACAAATCGTTGGACGAGTATTTCTGCAAACTGGAACATCGGATCGATGCAGTAAATAATAATCTCCAGGGTTCAATAGCCAGGAATGTGGACTGCATAAAAAATAACGCAGTCAGCTTCAACGAGATGGAGAGTAATTTTGAAATGTTGAATAAATCGATGTCGACATTCATGGATGACATAAAGGTGATTGTGAGAAGTCAAGTCAAAAAGCAGACACCGGATCTCAACTCATCAATCCTTGAGAACAAGATTGACGGGGTTGGGCTAATTCTTGCCGAAAATATGGACAAAATCTTATCGGCTCTGGATACACGTGTCAATCGTATTGACGATACTTCTTATAACTTACTAGCTTCTGCCCAGGATGACATCGCTTTGATCAAGAACAAAATCGACAGTCTCCCAAACCTCGGTGGCATGATAAGGGAACTTAGCTCTCAATTTGACGAGTTGATTAAATTCAATGATGAGAAATTTACCAAAACAATGGACAAGTCCCTACATGCCGAATTGCTTGAGGTATCGAAGGAAGCGACGAAAGTAAACACTGAATCTGACATCAACCCAAGCGAACCATTAAGCGTTGCTCATTCCAAAAATGATCTTGTTGGCCCTAAACCTCCTGCCACCGTTGCCCTGCCTATTTTTAACTGTTGGATCTCCAAATTATCTTTAGATACCACAGAAAATAGCCTGGAGGATTTCTTACGTACCAAATTCAAATGTACAGAGGTAGTTTGTAAGAAAATTACGCCGGCGTTTCTCAAGCAGAAGGCAAAATATCTCACCTTTAAAGCCAGCGTACCAAGGTCTAAACTAAGGAAAATTCTAAATCGTAAGCATTGGCAAGCAGGTACTCTTTTGGAAAAATTTTTTGATAAATCTAACATTAAAGTTAAGAATAAACTGCCTAACCACGACACTAATTCTACTAACAGTAACTTTATTAATAATAATAGAAATAGACTTGACAGTAGAAAAAAGAAAAACAATAGAGACACAAATTTTATCAATAACAATACTAACAAAATTAATACAAAACATAGTACTACTAATTTAAAAAACAACAATAACAGAAATAAAAATAGGAAAAACAATGACAAGATTAATAAAAATAAAGGCAGCAATAAAAGGAATAATAATAATAATAATAATAATAATAATAATAATAATAATAATAATAATAATAATAATAATATTAATAATAATAATAATAAAAATAATAACAATAATAATAATAATAATAATAACAATAATAATAATAATAACAATAATAATAATAATAATAATAATAATAATAATAATATTAATAATAATAATAATAATAATAATATTGATAATAATATTAACAATAATAATAATAATAATGATAATAATAATAATAATAATAATAATAATAATAATAATAATAATAATAATAATAATAATAATAATAATAATAATATTGATAATAATAACAATACCAGCAATAAGAACAATATTAATAACAATTATAGTATTAATATTAATGACAATAATAATAATAATAGCAATAATAATACTAATAGTAATGACAGTAATAATAATGACGGCAACAATAATACTGACAATCTTATGAATAATGGTGCCAATAACAATAATATTGGCAAGTATTCAAATTTCATCCAGGGCGAAACATTCAACGGGACCGTAAAAGCTCAAACTTGTAAGAGTGGCGAAACCAATGCGGCGACTATTCAGACTACTCTAATTCCCATCTTGCCTTCACAATCTTTTATAGATCCACTTGTTCCACCAGTTGTTCGTATGACAAAAAAGGCAGTTGAGGCTGGTGACAGTACGTACATTTTGTCTCGCTTTAGAGACAGGGTTGTCTATGAAAACGTTAAGCTTTATCTGGCTTACTTACATGACGCGGCGGACACAGTGCATCATGAAGGCAAGACTCAGTTCAGCATAAAAGTTTTCATAGAAAGTGAGGGTCTCCCCTCTGATTACACTCTCCTCCTGAGACTGTACAAAAGATTTCATGAAACTTTAAATATGCAACCTGAAAGTGTCGAGAAGGACCTTCAGACTTATCGGAAACACATGAAGAGTAAATGGGTTGATTACTTACAAAGAATGAGGGAATCAAACGATAGGTTTTTTCTTCCGTCGGGATCCTCTAAATCACCATCAAAATGGTTTAAATAGTGACGGACCCACCCTCAAAGCCTCCCATAGTAGTCTTGTGACTATTCGTCCCATCAAATCATCTGTTTTCCCTAACATATTTTACCATAATTGCAGCGGTTTGAGAGGAAAGCTTAAAAATCTCTTTATTGACGCTAAATCTTGCAATTTCAATATTTTAACTCTTACGGAAACGTGGTTGAACGATTCTTTCAAAAATGAGGAAATACTTGACAGTAATTGGTCTGTATACAGAAAAGATCGTGATTATACAGCTACTGGTCAATCCAGGGGTGGGGGCGTTTTGATCGCCGTCAATAATCGGTTACCAAACCAATTGGTATCCACTTCAGTTTTTTCCACATTCGACCATCAATTTATCAAAATATACTCAGGTAGAATCTATACCTATGTGGGAGTGGTTTACTTCCCCCCTAATTCTGACGAATCCTCTTATAACGGTTTCTTTACCATATGTAACGAAATATTTTCACAAATGCATGAGGATGATGAGATAGTTGTTCTAGGTGATTTTAATCGGTCGGCTTTATCGTTTATCAACGATGAATGTGATAACCATCTTCTTCCAGTCAACTTCATGGAAGACATCGATTTTAATCTCGTTAGTACGTTCTATGGGAACGACTTGCAGCAGGTGGTACGTTACCCAAATGAAAGAGGTAATTGGTTGGACTTAGCTTTCTCAAATGCCTATGACAGCATACGGGTTCGACTTGCTACAGACGAAGAGAACCTTTTCAAAAATTCTATTCATCATAATGCAATTGTTCTCGAATTTCCTAATAACAAACTTAAGTTCTCTAAATCTTACAATAAAGAGATTGTATATGATTTTCTTAACGCCGACTACAACAGCATCAATTATGCTCTTAGCTTAATTAATTGGAACGATATGTTCCATCAGGACAATTTAGACAATATTATCTCCGATTTTTACTCTATTTTGTTCAGATTAATTGACGCCCATGTTCCAAGAATCCTTAAAAAGGATAGACTGGCGGAACCATGGTTAGACCGTAATTTAAGAC